GCATGGGCACAGGCAGCCTCTGATGTCCCTTGCTCTGGTGTCCCACAGCCTATGGATGCGGCCAGCCGGCCGTGCCACCACAGCTGGGCTCCCGCGTGGTGGGCGGTGAAGATGCCGTAGCCCACAGCTGGCCATGGCAGGTAAGGGGGCACAGAGATGGGCACAGGATTGGGGAAGGGGATGGGGATGGGGACAGGGATGGGGACATGGATGGGGACATTCCCACTCTGACCCTGCCCTCTGCCCTCACAGATCTCCCTGCAGTACAGCCGCTATGGGTCTTGGTACCACACTTGTGGCGGGACCCTCATCGCTCCCCAGTGGGTGCTGACGGCCGCTCACTGCATCAGGTGGGTGTTGGGCGCTGGGGGGGTCTGTCCCATCGAGACAAGATGTTTGTAGGGACTGACACCCCCTCTGTCTCCCTGGCAGCTCTTCCATGACCTACCGTGTGGTGCTGGGCAAGCAGGACTTGTCGGTGGATGATGAGCCTGGCTCTGTGGCCGTGGGTGTGGAGAAGACGATCGTGCACGAGAAGTGGAACTCCTTCCTCATCATGTAGGGGTTGGGATGCGTCAGGGGTGGGTCATGGCTGCTGTGGCCACAGACCCCTGTCCCCATGGCCCGGGACCACATCCTCATGGTTCATGTCCACCTGCAGCAACGACATTGCCCTGGTCAAGCTGTCCGAGGAGGTGCAGGAGAGTGACACCATCCGGGCYGCCTGCCTGCCAGAGGCTGGCAAGATCCTGGCCAACGACTACCCCTGCTACGTCACCGGCTGGGGACGCATCAGGAGTAAGTGGGGGGTGTCCCACGGGTCCCCAGAAAGGGGATGCTGGCACAGGGTGTGAGGTACGAGCTTTGACTGTCCTTGCAGCCAACGGGCCCCTGGCTGACATCCTGCAGCAGGCTCTGCTGCCCGTGGTGGACTATGAGACCTGCTCCCAGAGGGACTGGTGGGGCAGCAACGTGCTTGAAAGCATGGTGTGCGCCGGTGGCGATGGCGTCGTCTCTGGATGCAAYGTGAGTGACCMCAGCGTGGCKTGKTGGGCGTCCGAGCRGTGTGGGACCATGGGCACCACCAGGAGAGGGGATGGAGCCACGGTGGTGGATGGCCAGCAGGGATYTGGAGTTGGTGGGGTGCCCAGGAGCGGTGGCACAGATTGTCTGTCCCCACAGGGCGATTCTGGTGGCCCCCTGAACTGCCAGCGYGAGGATGGCATCTGGGAGGTGGACGGCATCGTCAGCTTCGGCTCCGGCCTGAGCTGCAACCTGGCCAAGAAGCCGACCGTCTTCACCCGCGTGTCTGCCTTCATTGACTGGATCAACGAGGTGGGTGCTCCCTCTGCCCCACGCAGGGGCTGTTCTTGCCCCACTGAAGGTCTCACCATGACCCCCTCTTGTCTTTTTTTTGGCAGAAAATGAGCTCCAACTGAGGACGCGGCACATGGAGATACAGCCGTTGAGCATGATAAAAGCAAAAGTGCTGAGCTGGTCTCGCTGATTCTTTTGTGGGGCTATGGTGGAGCTGGGGACACAAATTCAGGGCTGTGTGTGGTGATGCCCAAGTTCTCCTGTGCTGGGGAAGGTGTCCCTGTTGTGCAGCAGGGCTGGGCAGGGCCCTGGGGAGGCTGTCAGGCACRTCCTGAAAGATGCTCCCGGTCCTCATGCCATGGCTGAGCCAAGGGGCTCGAGGTTTGGTGGGTGGTTTGATGGGAGAAGGGCTGGGGTCTATCCAGGTGGGTCAGGGGAGCTCCAGGGAACCTAGGTGGCCTTTGGGGACAATCTAGAACACTTGATAGCTCCAAGGATGCTTTAGGGGACCTCACTGGCACTGCCTAGATCAGGGCAGCTGACTTTCAGTGGGGTCTTGAGGGAATCATGTTGGTTTTGGGGGGCTTGAAAGGGGCTGACTGGTTTGGGAGGGCTCAGGGGTGCCTGCAGGAACTCTGCTGGAGATGGAGGCCTTGGGAGCTGTATGGCACTGGCAGCTCCATATCCAGGACCTGTGACATTGCCCAGGAGTGCAGCATCTTCATTGCATGGTGGCTGGAGGAACAAGGTGGGTGGTGGGCTGTGGGGTCCCGGGGAAGAGCCAGGGCTGCCCTGGGGGAGATTTTCCAGGAAGAAGGCAGCCTGTTGGTGGGAGCAGCTGTGAAGGGGCTGTCTGGGAGGTAGGAATGGGTGCTGCACTGTGAGCCCTGARCAGAGCCATCCATCCACACCATCCCATCGTGGCTGCTGGAGCCCAGCCGGGATCCTCACAGGGTGAGGAGGAAGAGAACGAGCAGGGGTGGATGGCAGCACCTCGAGCTTGGTGGGGATGTGGCAGATGGTGCCCGGGTTAGGAGCTGTGGTGCCACTGGACCATTGACCGGCACCAGCACCAGCCCAGCGAGCAATGCTGGCCCTGCACTGGGGCTCAGGAGCACCAGCAGAGTCCTGGCACTGTGTGAGCCACTGGGGACTCTCCAGGAACCCTCTGCACTCRTCAGCCTGACCAGAGGATTCGAGGTGAAGAGGGGTGGAGGGTGGGGAATGGTTTTGATGGACAGGAAATGTGCTCTGGCAAAGGAACTATAGGCTCACCCCAAAGGGAATTAAAGGCTGCCAGTCAGAGCTGTGTGGAGGTGGGTACTGCACAGCAGGATGGGGCCAGGGGCTAAGGGCACTGGCATGGGACCGGCAGCAGGACCTGCTGCCTTGGATGGAGAGCTCCAGGCTGTCCTGTGATGTTGGGGCAGTGTGGGGTGCCCCTGTCCCTTGTGCATGAACCCACATGTGCTGTGGGGATGGTGGTTGGGGCYGGGGGTGCAGGAGCTGGGTGTCACAGTCTTGTGTGTGTGCCCGTGCATTGTGCCCATCCTCAGAGGGTGTTTGCTGGGCAGAGGGGCCCTGGGCAAGGCCCCAGAGGGCCCCAAGCCCCTGTGCTGGGGCATCAGCCCTGCCCCACCAGCCAGCCATGGCCATCCCCCCCAATGCGTGTCACCCCAATAACCAGTGTCACCCCAATAACCAGTGTCCCCTCGCCCAGCAGGTGCAGAGCTGTGCTCCCTCTGGGTGAAGAGCCTTTCTCAAATGTCCAGTCTTTCCTCAGACACAGCTCCAGYCRTTCCCTGGGTCCTGTCCCTGTCACAGAGAGCGGAGAYTGGAGCTGCCCCTCGGGAGGASCTGCAGCCCCCAGTGAGGTCTGACCTCAGCCTCCTCCAGCTGAACAAACCAAGTGTCTCCAGCCTCAACYACTTTTCATCTCTAAGGCTGCATGGAGTTTAACGAGTATTTGTTATATTTACATGTTAACTGCCAATTACTGTTAAGATTTTGTGCAGTTCATAATTGACGCATTAAATCTACAAAGTTAAACTAAAGAAGTGTAAGCTTTATTTTTGTTAAACGTGTAACACCTTATTATACACTTTATAGGATGTGTCCATTATTAAGTGTTCAACAATATGGGAGAACAAGGGGAAGGTTAAAAGAATGCAGCAAAATTTTGTGAAGTTCATACCTTTTAYTTCACTGTTGAAATATAAGTACTCACACAATCACTTACATAAAAATGCCATCTTAGAAATGCTCTTCACCCACGCCTGGGAATGAGAGCTCAGACTCCCCTGACACTGAGCAGCRCCCTGATGCTGAGGGCACAGAACCAGAGGGCAGCACGGCCCCAGCACACGGTGCCAGTCCCCATCCCAGGCTCCCCTYAGGGACATCTGGCACTGACACACACAGAAAAGGGAGATGAGCAGTGGGGCCATGGAGTTACCCCAAAAGAGCGCTCCCCCATCCCTCCCTGAGCCCCCACTGTCCCCCACATGCCCCACCACCACCCCTGTGCCACTGCAGTGCTCTGCTCTGCTCTTCCTTTCACCAAGGATGTCCCAAGGTGGGACAAGTCACTGCAGGCCATGTCACGGAAGAAGGAAAAGGACAAGACTGGGCTCTCTCTGCCCAAAGTCAAGCACCAGCTCCCTGCAACCCTGTCCCAACCAGGCACCCATGGGACMCCACAGTCCCAATGCGCCCTTGTTGAGAGAACTGGGGAAGTGAACAAGGCAGGAGAGTGCAGGGTCACCTTTCCCAAAGAAGAAAATGTCAAGGAGAGATGGGATCAGCCCTGGGATCACCCACACACCCAGCTGCTCTGTGCAAAAGCAGCCATGACAGGACAGACCAACCCAGCACCTCACACCCAGTGACACATGTGCCACTGAGCTCTCACAAAACCCTGGGCAGAGGAAAGGCCATTCCAGCCACACCCRGCTCCTGCTGGACCCCTTTGGGGTGCTTTGGGTGGCCTTGGCTCCCTCTGGCCAAAGTAGCCCCACCTGTCCAGGTGCTCGTCCCCAGCCACATGTGGGCATTGGGCCCCACCACTGCCCTGGGGTGTACCACCAGCCAAAGGAACAAAAATATAAAAGAAAAAAACAATTCCCACTAAAATAAACCTCTACAGCTCCAAAGCATAAACACAACCATATAAAATGACAACAGAAGGCAAAGTAAAAGCCCCCCAAATTCTCATGTGTGCACCTCATAGCCGTGCATGGCACAGCCRCAGCCACTCCAGGCTTTCCCAAGTACAGAGGATACCATCAGATCCAAGATGGTGCCACAGCCAGGGCAGCAGCMAGGAACATGCACCCAAACATGCCAGGGATGGGTGCACAAGGTGAACAAACACYGATAGGGACTCACAGACACACAGGGATAAACCTTTGGGAAAGGGAGCACCTTGTCCCTGCGGGAGTGATGGGTTGGAGGCAGGAGTGGCCTGGGGCAGTCGGTGCTCAGGACTGGGGGGCAGCAGCGCTGCCCAGCACCCCACAGACAATGGTGTGGGTGGGGGCTGCCCATCAGCTGTGCCCAGGAGGGTCCCTGCCCATTGCCAGAGCAGGGCCAGGTGTCCCCACCATGTCCCATCACGGTGACAGCTCRCCATGGGCAGATGTGGCCGTTCCCAGCAGGGACCATGAGTRCGATAAGATGGGGCCATGGGGCTGAGGAGCCCCTGTGCCCCAGCGTGGGACAGTCCCCACATGGCAGTGGCAGGCGGGGCCGCTCCAAGGTCGGTGGCAGCGCAGACACCATAAGAGGGGTGAGCAGCCCCACTGCCGCACCTTTGGTCAGCACAACCATGCTGGGAGCCGTCTGTCTCGTCGTGCTGCTGGGCTACGGTGGGTGCRGGGCATGGGGAGGGGTTGGACCAGGGGGATGGGATCGTGGGGCCTGTCCTGGCCCTGAGCATGGGCACAGGCAGCCTCTGATGTCCCTTGCTCTGGTGTCCCACAGCCTATGGATGCGGCCAGCCGGCCGTGCCACCACAGCTGGGCTCCCGCGTGGTGGGCGGTGAAGACGCCGTAGCCCACAGCTGGCCATGGCAGGTAAGGGGGCACAGGGATGGGCACAGGGATGGGGAAGGGGATGGGGATGGGGACAGGGATGGGGATGGGGACATGGATGGGGACATTCCTGACCCTGCTCTCTGCCCTTGCAGATCTCCCTGCAGTACACTCGCTCTGGCTCCTGGCACCACACTTGCGGCGGGACCCTCATTGCTCCCCAGTGGGTGCTGACGGCTGCTCACTGCATCAGGTGGGTGTTGGGTGCTGGGGAGTCTCTACCAGCAGGGTGAGACATTTGTAGGGACTGACACCCACTCTCTCCCCCTGGCAGCGATTCCATGACCTACCGTGTGGTGCTGGGCAAGCAGGACCTGTTGACTGATGACGAGCCTGGCTCYGTGGCYGTGGGTGTGGAGAAGACAATTGTGCATGAGAAGTGGAACTCCTTCCTGGTCCTGTAAGGATGGGATGTGTTCAGGATTGGGTAGGGGGCAACARAGCTGGAAACAACATCCTCATGGTTCACATCCACCTGCAGCAACGACATTGCCCTGGTCAAGCTGTCCGAGGAGGTGCAGGAGACCGACACCATCCGGGCTGCCTGCCTGCCAGAGGCTGGCAAGATCCTGGCCAACAACTACCCCTGCTACGTCACCGGCTGGGGACGCCTCAGGAGTAAGGAAGGGGTCCCCAGGAAGGTCCCTAACATGTCCCTGGGGACGGGGTGTGGGTGCAGATTGTGAGATGTGATTGTCCTTGCAGCCAACGGGCCCCTGGCTGACGCCCTGCAGCAGGCTCTGCTGCCCGTGGTGGATCACGAGACCTGCTCCAAGTGGGACTGGTGGGGCAGCATGGTGCGCACCACCATGGTGTGTGCTGGCGGTGATGGCGTCGTCTCTGGCTGCAATGTGAGTGACCACAGCGTGGCGTGGGGGGTGTCCCCAGCMCAGGGGGGTGACAGCAGGGCTGGAGCGGAGCAGAGCCATGGGTGCCATGGGAAGCACAGGACGGGAGGGGATGGAGCTGYGATGGTGGGCGGCTGGGTGGGATGCGAGGTATGTCGGCASGGTGYCCAGGAMCGATGGCAYGGATTSTCTGTCCCCACAGGGCGATTCTGGTGGCCCCCTGAACTGCCAGCGCGAGGATGGCATCTGGGAGGTTGAGGGCATCGTCAGCTTCGGCTCCGGCCTGAAGTGCAACATGATCAAGAAGCCGACCGTCTTCACCCGYGTGTCTGCCTACATCGACTGGCTCAACGAGGTGGGTGCCTCTCCTTCTGCCCCACGCAAGGGGGTGGCCACGCTGGCCCTGCCCTGCCAGGGGTCTCACCATGAGCCTCCCCACGTCTTGTCTTTGGCAGAAAATGAGCTCCAACTGAGGACGCGGCATGGAACACGACACCCATTGAGAGCAATAAAAGCAATAGTGCTGAGCTGGGCTCGTGTGGTTCTTTCAGGGGGATGTGGTGCAGTGGAAACAAGGGGTGGTGTCTTGGGGTCCTGGGTTTCTGCCCATGTGCTAGGGAGAGCCCCTCATTGTGCAGCAAGGCTGGGCAGGGACCTGGGCAGCCCAAGGTGGGCAAAGATCCCACAAGGTGCTCCTGTTGGGAGTGGAGCCATCATGGCCATCGCCAACCCAGAGCGTTCAAGGCTTGGCTGGTACTTTGATGGGAGAGTGGCTGGAATCTGGCCTGGAATCTCTCCTGGGGGACTCTAGGGAACTTGGGGGGAGCTATAGGGCACTGGTTGGCCCCAAGAGGGTTTAGGTGTCTTGGCTGGCGCTGGGATGTCTCAGGGGATTCTAGTACTGGGCTACTCAATGGCAGCAGATTTACAACAGGGGTCTTGAGGGAATGGGGTTGGTCCTGGGGCTCATCCTGCAGCCCCACCACATTCCCTCCACCCCCTTGTGCTGCCAGAGTGCTCCCCCTCTGCTCTCACCTCTGCCAAGGGTGCCCTGGGGCAGCAGCAGCCACCACTGCCCACGTCATGGAYAGAAGGAAAAGGACAAGGCTGAGCCACCTCTGCCCAAAGTCACCCCCAGCCCAGCCAGGTGCCCACGGGACACCCCACTCCCAATGCTCCCTTCGTGAGAGAACTGGGGCAATAAACAAGGGGAAGAAGGCAGGGTCACCTTTCCCAAAGGAGAACAGGTCCAGGGGAGATGAGGTCAGCCCTGGGATCACCTGCACTCCCAGGTGCTCTGTGCAAAAATGGCCAAGACAGGACAGGGCAATCCAGAACCCCACTGCCCCAGGGGATGGGGAAGGGGAATGGGGACAGAGACAACCGAGATCTCAAAAATCCCTGAGCACAGGCATGGCCATCACAGCCACACCCCAGCTCTGGCTGGACCCTCCTTGGGGAGCTCAGGGCAGCCCTGGCTCCCTCCTGCAGTGCCCTCAAAGCACCTGAAATGCTCCCAAAAGAAGCATGGAAATAGTGACTGCAAAGGCAGATTTGGTATTCTCAGGTTCCCTGGGGATCCCCTGGCACCCCTCAGCACAGACCTACCCTAAGGCCACTGCACCTCCCAAGGTGGCTCCAAGGATGCTTCCCCCCTCAAAATCCAACACAGATCCTCAAGTACCTCACCTCAGCTCTGACATTCCAAAGAATCCTCATCAGTTTCCTGTCGCTGCTGGCCCGTTCTCCCACAGTTTCCTGCTGTAACTCCTGTTTAACATCTGAATGACTCCTCAAAAGGAGCATAATGCCTGCTGGCACAGCCACATTAGAAAAGACCCAGGAACAGCAGAGGTTAAAAATTCACACAAGTGAAGGTTCCTACTATTTCCCCTTCAGGGAAGACTTCAGGAGATGCTGAAATGGCAGTGAGGATATGGAACAGACAAGGGAATACAGCAAAAGATTTGCCTTTTAGTTGCATTTATTAGAAACATCAATTGCAAAACTTATTGCATTCCACTTGAATATCAGATCCCGATCCCACCAGTCACCTGGGCAGCCCAGGACACAAATATCGTGATCAGCAAAAAAAACACTCTGAGGCCGAGCGTGGCCGTGTTGTGATGAGCCAGAAGTGCTCTCCTCTGGCTCTGTGCTCCAGCAAAGGGACATCCACAACATTTCCCATCGGCACAACACAATCTCCATCCCATCTCTACTCCACAACAAAGACAGGGCTCAAAGATCACATCTCTCCAGACAAACATCTGGGCACACGGAGAAAATCCCCTGACAGCACTGTCACCGAGCCATGGTGGGCACAGATTTCGTTCAGCCACTGGAAGCATCTCCAGCACTTGGCAGGGGGCTCGGAGCCCATGTGTCAGTTGCACAGGAAGAAGAATTTTTTACGCAGGAAATTGAAACATCCCGGGATCTGCTTGTACCTCCCCTTGGCAGAGACGGCATTTGCCACCTGGGAACAGGAGAGAGGCTGAGGAACAGAATGCTTTTCCCCATCCCTTGACATCAACAGCTGCCATGCCAAGGCAGCCAAAGCACCACAATGACCAGAAAACAACACCAAAGTGATTCTGTGAGTCCTCTCTCCCTCCCTCCACATTGGACTTCTCTCCTACACTTGGAGAACTGAAAAAGTGTCTGGGGCACCCACACTTTACCCAATTTGAAAATACTGGGTCAGCAAGGCACACAAAGGAAGGTGTTGATTAGCCAGACTCATTCCGTGCTCTCTGTACGTTGTGCTCCTCCACCCCCAGGACATGCTTAAATCAGCTTGGATTTTTGTGAATAGGACAAGTCATAACATTTTTTAGCGATTTCCTCAGAAGGATTAAAGCTGTATTGCCAGAATTTCTCCACACTGAAGAAACCTCTAGCAATTTTTGGCAGATTGAGGCCAGACACTTCCTTTGTAATTAAACCTCTCTGCAGTACCCAGTACCTCCAACTAGCCCATCCTTAAACTCAATGCTCAATATCCACACTCCTTTTTAAAGTGTAGGCCTCCATGGCCCAGCTGATCACACCCCTGACTATTTCCTTCATCCGCAAAAACTCAGGTGAGAAAAGACATTTACCCTCAGTAACATGTTCAGCAGGTGAGAAAAGACATTTACCCTCAGTAACATGTTCAGCAGGTCTTCTGAACGGGCGTATTGCTCCAGAACACTGTCCAGTGTTTCCACATACCACGAGCCAGTCGACTTCTCCCTCCAGGACACAAAACCTTCAGAGAAAGAAGGAGAACATTATGCCAAAGYCCATTGTTRRRGGTTARGATTTCTCCTTTTGCTCTCCCTCTCAGGGAATTTTTCCCCATTTTTGTTGCTCAGAAAAAGTAATGACCAGGTATTTAGAATAATGACCAAGTGCTTAAGGAAGACAAAAAGAGGTTGTGGGGYTGGGGGAAGGAGGGCACCTTAAAGCCAAGACACTCATCTGCTGTTCTCACCCCAAYGAGTTCCTGCTGCCCCAACAGAGCYGGGYTGCCCTGAACTACYCCTGACTTTGSCCACGAAKCTCTGACTGCRTTGCTAAATCCCCCTTGCCCAGCAAAGGGTTTGCACAGGTTGTTTCACCTGGAAAAGTTGAGTAGGAAACCAAGATGTCGCTGGGTGTGGGCARACAGGTGATGGCATCGGGCTCATCCACGTTACCCGGTGGAGCCTGAAACGGGGTCGCGTCTGATTCCAAAGGGCCCCCAGGAGCTTCATCTTGGGGTGAATCACAATCCACTACAAAGCCTTGATCCCTTTGCTCTGAAAAAAGCAGCAACAAGACACTRCCTGACATTCATCCCACCCAAGCGGTTCACGGTTGCCCATCCAACGTTATGAAAAGATGGAGAAAGAAAAGGACAAAGTCCCTGGAACAAAATAAAGCTTTTTGGCCCTTCGGCTGTGCTGGTTGAGTCAAAGCCATTGGTGATTTATACAAAATTCCTCACTCTGTGTAAAGAGCTGGAGCAGCCTCTCAGCACAWGGTAAGAGAAGAGGCAGCTGGAGTGAGAAGGCAGCTGGAGAGAGGGACAGGTGATAAACAGGAAGGGAGTGAAAGCCACAGCCTGGCCACATCTCCACAGCCCAGCACTACCGGAGCCCACACAAAGATTCACCTCCACCACAGGCCTGGATGAAGAACAGTTTGGGTTTTCCTCTCAAACTTGGGCAATTGGACCCATTGAAATAGTTCACAATCTTTTCTACAGGAATGGGTTTTCCATCCGTTCCATAAACGCCTCCAGGAAACTGAATATGGCTCGTCTGCAAGAGGAAAATGCAGGAGCTAGTGACACCAAAGGCGAGGCCATTGCCGAGGGAGCCCATCTCCCATCAGGTGCTTCATATCCTAAAGGTACCAGAACAAATCCTGGTTTTTGTGGGAATCCCTGTGACCCAGTCAGGGCGAGGGGAGACCCAGAAGTCATTTGAAATGCACTGAAACCCAGCAATCCAACTTCTATTATCCAACTCGTATCCCACTTCCTCCAGCAAAGGACTTTCTCATCCTCTGGCTCAGTGGGCACAAACCATACACCAYTTTCCTAACAATCCCTCTCCTCATCCTTCAAGAAGTGCCTTGGAATAAACAGGCTTTATTGCTAATAGCATCTCCCTGTCAGAGCTGGAGAACAGGAAGGACTGAATAATCACAGCATAAGGCTGAGTGGGACCTCCCCTTYGCTCTCTGCTCATCTCTCAGTTCCAAATTATTAACCCCAAATTCCAACATGGAAAACACTTGTCCACTGGCACTGGCAGTCTGGATCAGATTACACCAGAGAAGTTTCTGTTTTCTTTAATCCAGAATGAGGGTGCAACTCCTGGAAATGTACTGCAACGGCAGAACAAGGTTTAGACAGACCACTTCCCTCTCATCCTGTGAGAGACCAAAGGATGGGGAATTAACTCCTTCCCACACCAAAGGAACAAAGGGAGAGATGGCACAAACCCACCTGACAGCCGTGGGAAAGGATGACCACGATGCAGCAGTCCAAAGCACTGTGGTCCTGTCGTGATAACTTCAGCAGCTCCAAAACCATTTCCTGTGTGGAAAACACCATTATGGGAGATTTTYTGAACCATACTCAGCCACAGCTTAGTGCCAGGCCCTGCTCTAACTGARCTGCCACGTGGAAGGATCTGTGAGCCCCAAGCAGAGCTGGCAAAAGCCATTGGCAGAGAGTGACTATTTCTCTATCTCTGCATTTATTTAACACTGGCTGCTTTAATCGCACAGATTTCTCACCTCCCTGCACTCTTTACAACACAGCAATACAAACCARAACATGCTTCCACATGATTTATCTGCTGAAATCCACAGCTTCTGACTGGGAGCTGGTGGGTGAGCAGAGAACCATGTTTTACTTTCAGATGAGCAAGTACTGCCCAAGTTTCCAGGAACAACCAAGAAAGSACAGCACAGATAAACATGTTACAGCTGTCCCAGCTATCCCAAAAACACAGCCTCACCCATTCCCTACAAATCACAACCAGRATTCTACATGCAGGCAGAGGGGTGAAAATGTGCAAGCTCCTCTCCCCTTCTGCAGCCACAGCAAAACAATAAAGYAAGAGCATGCAAGTGGTTCATTGTTTCTTTCTGGGGGTTTTTCAGCGTGCTGCCAGCATGGGATACATCCTCTAATGCATTCCCACAGTTTCCAGGGGCTCATGTCTCATTCCTGGTGTCAGCAGGGCACAACCARCCTCACCTGAGCTTTCAGATCCCGCCGAACCAGGACAGTGAAGCGCAAGGCCTTGAAACGCCTCTCCAGCTTCTCACAGTCAATGTCAGAGCCTTCTCGGGTCGACAGATCTGACTCTCTGGAGAAGTTGACATTATTGAGGATCAGGCAGTGTCCACAGGGGTCTGCTTTCATCTCATAATCCTGGCAGGGACACACCACAATTAAACTCCCTCTTATTCTGAGTGCTTGCTGGCTAATCCAGCAGGATATCGCATCCCAGCCAGTGAGAAATGGGAATCCTTAAAGTGGCTTGTTTCACAGCTTTTTTACTTCTCTAGACCTAGGGATGGGTAGAAGCATCCACATTCCACACACCTGTTCTCATCAGCAGCTGGGAGCACAAAATAACCCACTAAATCAGGGCAAGCCTGATCATGCAATTGTGGAAAACTGACTGCTGCTTCATCTGCAGTGTCTCCGACAGCAAGCTGAAGTTTCTGGGATTTTTTTTTTTAGGCATCATCATCATCAAACCTCACAACAATGAGACAAGAATTTGTGTTATTTGCCAATCTTAATAAGGAGGATGTGGCTAATGAGTAAGCCACTCCGAGACCATCAGCTCTGTTACAGCCTCAGAGTGATAGGYTGGGTAACACAAAGTGAGAACCAGCTCTTCCAGGAATATTTTGTGGAACCACCCATGAGGCATGGAGCTTTCACCCAGTAGAGAAAGTGTTTTTTTCAGCCTACCCAAATACTAACCATGTCACGGCTCCTCTTGGCAGCAGCTGAACCTACAACACACAACAGATGTGGGATTTAGCTCACCACACTCCACAATAAGACTGTACTCCTAGAGGTCACACCTTTCCCAACACGTAGGAATTCCCTCTTCCCACAACACTGGGAAAGAGCCTTTGGCATGCTGTGTCTCTAGGATAGCCTTCAATGTAGCTTACCCCAGGCTGGCACAGAAGGTATTCGAGGTCTTTCGCTCTCAGCTTGGACTGGGATAGACAAACGTTCAGGAGGGGTCACATCTGTAATGTTAGAAAACAAAAATACAGAGGATGAGCCTGAGCTCAAAGGCTTCCACTGCTGGAAAGCAAGACATACAGGCTGCCCAGAGAAGCTGTGGCTGCCCCTGGATCCCTGGAAGTGYCCAAGGCCARGYYRGACAGGGCACCCTGGTCTARTGGAAGGTCCTTGCCCACAGCAGGGGATGGAATGAGATGAAAACCACTCTGTGATTCCATGATTCTCCCAACAGTCACCTCTACCAGGATAACAGAAATCCTGACTTCCTGGACTCCTGCCCACAGTGAGAGGGATCCCAGCTGCCACCCAGCCATGCTGCTGCTWATCAAAAACACACCACACCCTCAACACTGACTTTTGTGCTGTTTTTCTTCCCGCAGCTCCAGCTCCACGGGCCGCAGGTCYGGCAGCTGTGCTGGCACCGGCTGGGTTTTGCACTCCTGGAGCAGCATCTCTGCGAGGTCACCCTGCCCAGTGTCCCGCAGGATGGAGAGGAACACAGGGAAAGCCTGTTTCCCTCGAGTCTCCAGGTCRATGATCAGCTGCCGGGCTTGGTCCCCTCGGCTGCCAGCGCTCTGCAGAGGAGAAAAACCAAGAAAAACAAGTGTTCATGCAGTGCCTGAGCAATCCTTCTGACTGATCCAGATCTGCACACAGGACACAGATATGGGGTAAACAACAGCAAAACCCGTGAAAACAGTCACAGAGACCCCCAGCAGAGCCCCAGCCCTGACCTCCCTCCAACCACAACAGCCATCACGGGGACACCCAGCCTACTGTGGGGTCTGGAGGGAAAGGGGGAGAGGGAGCACCYCCAGCCTGGCCCTTGGGGACAAAGTGGCTCCCCTGGGCTGTCACCAGTGTGTAAGACAGGGTAAAACACCCTAAGGCTGTCACCTGGAACCGAGGGGRGAAACAGGAACACCTTGAGGGTGTCACCAGATTGGGACGGGACATGAACAGAAACCCCTACACTGGCACTGCCTGGGGCTGGAGACAAAAAGGAGCAAGTGTGGGAGAGTCTCAAACATTTTATCTGCACAAGGACCAACCCCAGGCCTTGACATCAGAGTGGGGGAACACGGGGCCATCCCTTTGRGCCTGTCACCGGGCTAAAGGGACATGGAGCTCCCCTAGGAGCTTGTCACCAGGGTGAGGGGWCCTGGGATCTCCCTTGGGCTTGAGAAGACACAGGACAATCCCTCCCACATCTGTCACCAGAGTGAGGGCACTTGAGGGCCCCCCCCCAGACCTGTCACCAGGGCTCAGGGGACATGGGTTCCCTCTTCGGGCCCAAGAGGACATGGAGTCACCCCTCAAGCCTATTATTAGGGCTCAAGGGACAAAGGACACTCTCTTGATCTTGTAACCAGGGCTCAGGGACACGAGACCCTCACTTGGGCCCATCACCTGGCCTCAGGAGATGCAGGA